CATCCTCACAATCGTTGACATCAGCAGCATGATCAACCTCATCATCAACGTCAGTATCATCATCAGCAGCATCAGCATCAACTAAATCATCAGCAGCACCAGCATCACCATCATCAGCAGCAGTCTCATCATCATCGTCAGCATCAGCATCAGCAGCATCAGCAGCATCGGCATCATCAGCATTAGCATCATCAGCAGCATCGCCATCATCATCGTCCACATCGTCATCAGCATCGCGGTCAGCATCATCAGAATCAGCATAATAATCAGCAGCAGTAACAGCATCACCACCGTCATCATCATGGGCATCAGCATCATCACCATCAGCATCATCACCAGAGCATCATCAGCATCATCAACCTCATCGACAGCATCATCAGCATCAGCAGCATTGTCATCATATCCATTCCCCTTCGTCTGATCGTCTTCCTCCTCCTCATCCTCCGCATCCTCCTCCTCCGTATCATCATCATCCTCCTCCTCATCCTCCTCGTCAGCATCCTCGTCCTCATCCTCCGCCTCCGCATCTGCCTCCGCCTCCGCCCCCTCTTCCTCCTCGTGCTCTCCTTCCTCCTCTTCCTCCTCCTCGTCCTCTGCCATCTCGTCCGTCCTTTCCTCCTCCGCCCCCTCCTCTTCCTCCTCCTAATCCTACTCCTCCTATGTTTCTTCCTCCTGCTCATTCTTCCTCCACCTGATACGATACTATTCCTCCTGACCCTGACCCTGACCCTGACACTGACCCTCAACCACTTCCTCCTCATCCTCCTCATCATCCTCCTCCGCCGCCTTATCCTCCGCCTCCTCCTCCTCATCCTCCTCCTCCTCATCATCAGTATCAGCATCATCATCAGCATCAGCATCATCAGCATCATCATCATCATCATCATCATCATCATCATCATCAGCATCATCATCATCATCATCATCATCATCATCATCATCATCATCATCATCATCATCATCATCACCATCATCAGCATCATCATCATCATCATCACCACCACCACCACCACCATCATCATCATCAGCAGCAGCATCATCAGCACCAGCAGCAGCAGCATCATCATCATCATCATCATCATCATCATCATCAGCATCAGCATCAGCATCATCATCATCATCATCATCATCACCATCATCGTCATCGTCATCGTCATCGTCATCATCATCATCATCATCATCAGCATCATCATCATCATCATCCTCCTCCTCCTCCTCCTCCTCCTCCTCCTCCTCTTCCTCCTCCTCCTCATCATCATCATCGCCCTCCTCCTCCTCCACCTCCTCCGCCTCCTCCTCCTCCTCCTCCTCCTCCCCCTCATCCCCTTCCTCCTCCTCCTCCTCCTCCTCCTCCCCCTCCTCCTCCCTCCACCCTCCTCATCCTCCTCCGCTTTCCCCTCCCCCTCCCCTCCACCTCCTCCTCTCACTCCTTGACCTCCTCCTCCTCCTCCTCATCATCCTCCTCCTCCTCCTCATCATCCTCCTCCTCCTCCTCCTCCTTGTCCTTTTCCTCCTCCTTCTCCTCCTCCTTCTCCTCCTCCTTCTCCTCCTCCTCCTTCCCCTCGTCCCATCTCGCCTCACTCCCGCCCTCCCCGCGCCCGTCTCCCAGCTTCCCTCCCATCCACCCCGCGCCATGCGCACGGGAGGAGGAAGAGGAGGAGAAGGAGGAGGAGGAGGGGGAGGAGGAGAAGGAGGAGGAGGACGAGGACGAGGAGGAGGAGGAGGAGGAAGAGGAAGGAGAGCGGAGAAGAGGAGGAGAAGGAGGAGGAGGAGGAGGAGGGGACAAGGAGGAGGAAGAGGGAGGACAAGGAGGAGGAGGACAGGGAGGAGGAGACGGGAGGAGGCGGAGGAGGGACGAGGAGGAGGAGGAGAGGAGAGGAGAGACGATAGAAGGAGGAGGAGGAGGAGGAGGAGGACGAGGAGGAGGACGAGGAGGAGGACGAGGAGGAGGACGAGGAGGAGGACGAGGAGGAGGAGGAGGAGAAGAAGGAGCAGGACGACCACGAGCAGGTGAAGCGTGCCCAGGAGGACGAGAAGGAGGAGGAAGAGGAGTAGGAGGAGGACGGGGAGGAAGAGGAGGAGAGCGGAGATGAGGAGGAGATGGTGAGGAGGAGGAGGAGGAGGAGGAGGAGGGCAGGGGTGCGGGTGTGAAAGTCTCCGGCCGCCTCCACGAGGACTGGTGGCCAGAGAGCGACTCCGCCAGGAGCGGCGCGAGCGACAGCCCGGCCGCCAGCGCCCAGGCGGCCATTTCGGGGGCACGCGTGGAGTTCGGTTTTCCAGAAGGCCTCCCGAGCGGGGCTGGAACGTATAGACGCCCGAAATGGGTACGGAAAAATGAGTTCGATGCCCAACAATGACTGTTGTCCAACATCGACAGCGGCCGCTGTTGAGAAGGCGGCCTTCTGTCTCAAATGGACGACGTCCGCGTCGACACCGGCAGTGAGTCCCGTTCACAATGAGCAGGGAACGCTGTCGGCCACGGGGCCCATTCTTTCCGTATCCATGTCGGTCGTCTCGATCAGAGGAGCCACAGCCTTAGGGATCCACGAACCCGGCAGGGAAGCTGAGAGTCAAACATTTTTCTGGCATCGTACAACGCCTTCCCTCTTCTGGAGTGCCACCACTACCTCCTGCCTTCCCTCCTCCTCGCACTTTTCCTGCTCCTCCTCCTCCTCCTCCTCCTCCTCCTATCGCCCGTGCGTCGGCACTCGCCACATGCGTCGGCGAGGCGGCGCTGCGTCCTGCGCCGCCCCCGCCTGCTGCTGCATCCTCGGGGGGGGGGGCTCGCCCGTCCCCTCGCGCCGCTGCCCGCGTCAGACATCCGCGTCAAACCCACGTCGAGCGCGTCGATAGAGGCCTCCTAGATGGGGTCGGAGTAGATGGGGTCAGAGGATCGCGCCGCATCGCCGATACATTGCCGATGCATCGGCGATGCATCGGCGATGCATCGGCGATGCACTGGCGATGCATGGTCGACGTCGGCGGCGATACATCCGAGACGTCAGCGTAGAGAAAATCGGGCCCCACATCGAGCCGCATCGCCGGTACATCGGCGGTGCGGCGCGATCCTCCGACCCCACCTACTCCGACCCCATCTGGAAGGCCTAGAGTCGAAGCCGCAACCAATCCACGCTGCATCCGCGTCGAAGCCACGCCGCATCTGCCTCGAACCTCCGTGTGGCACAGGGTGCCCCTGCTGCCACCCCTCGCCCGGTTCCCCCCCCCTCTCTCGGCCTCCTGCCCTCGCCGCCACCGCCGGATCCGCCTCGGAATGCCGGTCAGAACCAGAACCCGGGTCGGAGACAGTCGGGGATGGACAGACCTCCCTTTAGTAAAACGTGGTTTAGTGAAAACGACCTGAGACCCAAACCTGGCGGGCGCAAGCCTGGAAAAGAACGGCCGCGGCGAACTCTCGAGAACCGAAAACGGACAATTCACTAATCGACGTGTCACTATTGGGGGTTCTGTCCGCCCCCGAGACAGGAGAAGAGGGCCATCTCCAGAAAGCAGGCAGGGCCCCCCGGAGATGCAGCGTCACCTCTCCGCTCCAGCCCCCGCTTAGGGGCTGCCTGCAGGTATACGAAAGGAGCAACTTCGGCTCGCCGCGTCGCGAAGCGAGCCGACGTGTGGGGATTGAGCCGAGTCGGCTGCGCACGCGCGAGGAGGAGCCGGGGGGCAGCGGCGGCCCGCCAGAGAAGCGAGGGCCATGGGAGGCGCCTTGGGAGGACTGGGCCTGAGCACTTCCAGCGGGCAGTGCCGCACGGCGGAGAGGCGGTGGCAGCTCCCCCATCGGTGTGCAGCGCGGCGGGCACCTCCTGGGAGCTCCAGAGGAGCGCCCAGGCATGTAGTGTCGGGCGCTTCGGAGAAGTGCCCTCTCAAGTACCTCCGTGGCTCCATGGGAGGGTCGTGGCAAGTACCTTCGGGCGCTCCAGAGTGGCGTCCTGGCAAATACCTCTGGGCGCTCCAAGGGGAGGAGCGTTCTGGCAGGTGCCTTCGGGCAACACGGGCCAGCACGGGAACGCCACAGGATACGGCCCAACCCTCCAACCCCAGCCTGGGCCCGAGAGAGCCCAGACGGGGACCAGGGGGGGAGGCAGCATACGCGGGCCTACCTTTGCCAACCTCTGCTACCTCACGGAAGCCGTCCCTGCAGCTATGGAGGATCACGAGGAGGACGAGCAGAAGGAGGAAGACGGGGGGAGCGCCTCCACGGGGGGAGCGCACAACAGCAGCACGGGGGAGCGCCTCCAACGTGGGAAGATGATCATGGGCACTATCATCGTGGCCTGGATCTGGACCATCCTCCCCTCCGTGGCGGCAGCCGCTGCTTCTGGCACTGGTGCCACCCCCTGGGCCTCCGAGAGGAGGGCGTTGTTGTCCAACGCTGGGCTTCGCTTTTGCGTGCTCCTCAGCCTTCGAGCCTGGCTGGGAGGGTGGCGCTCTAGACCTCACGAGGATCCGCCACTTTCGCCACCTCCCAGCCAGCGCTCGAAGGAGAAGGAAAAAGAGGGGGCGGCCGATCCCCTCTCAGGGCCCCTCCCAAAGACAGAGCCTTCCAGCGCCCCGCTGGTCACCGAGAGGAGGGCGAGGGAGGAGGGAGATCGGATGGAAACAACAAAACCAATACGAGCCTAAAGCTCCGGAAGCCCGCGCCTCCCATGGAGGCGTGGGTAGTGTTTAGATCTCGCCACGCGTTCGACGAACTCCAAAACCTACCCCCGCCGCCCATCGAGCTGTCTGAATCGTTTGATCGGCGAGGGTGGGCTTCGGATTCCGCTGCCGATCTGCGGGAGGGATATCAGGGAAAGGGGAAATCAGAACAGGAACCGATACTGCTACTCCCCGGACTACTCCCGGGGTGCATTCTGACCAGGATTTCGAGGCGAATGCAGCGGTGGCGACGAGGACCGCCCAGGAGGCCCCAAAGAGGCGAACACGGGGGAACGGTAGCAGTATGGGTGTCTGTTCCTCCTCTGGGGGAGGAGGAGGAGGAGGAGGAGGAGGAGGAGGAGGAGGAGGAGGAGGAGAAGGAGGAGGAGGGCCGCCCACGCCTCAGCCAGCCCTCCTCGCAGCCAGGGCGTCGACCTTTTTGGCGCCGCACCGGGGCAGGGAGCCGCCCCAGCGCCGACCCGGCCTGCCCGGAGAGGAGGGCGCCCCCTTCCCAGCGGGGGCAGGGCGCCAGGGCACGCGCACGCAGGGCGGGCGTGCCCAGATCCGCGCACTCGCGGCCTGGACTCTCGGAGGCCTGGAAATGGGCACCAACACCAACACAGGGGGGTGCCTCCACAGGGGGAAGATGATCCTAGATTTCGGTGTTGGTGGTAACATTTCGGCCACCTTGGAAGCCAGAATATTACCACCATCACCGAGATCGGGATCTTCTTCCCTCGATGGAGGCATACCGCCGATATTGGCGTTCGTGTCATCCCCTAGGCCTGCGAGACTCTGGGGCGCGATCCCGAGGATGCGCGGTCGCGCAGCTCACGCCCCGCGCGGGGGGCAGCGGCGACACAAGCGCCCCGCATCCACGGGGTCGCGGCCCAAAGGGCCCGGCCCGCGAGGCCGCGGGTGCGGGCACGTCTTCCCCCCGCCCGCGCCGCAGCGCATGCCACACAAAAACTTCCATGCCGAGGCTTGGGCTGCGCACGGACAGCCCCCAGAGGTCGTGAGGGTGGACTCGGGGGGGAGGGGGGGGCGGCTCACGGGGGGGGAACAAGGAGCTGGAATCGAGCATACATCGCACGATAGCGAAATCTACACGCTCCTGGGCGGGGGGGGCTGTCGGGCCCGCATCGGCGATGAATGGGCGAGTGGGGTTCGATGCATCGGCGATGAACGGGCCCCCTGAGCACATCTCCTCAAACCTTGCCCCAGAGGTGCGTCGGCGTCGCGCAAGAGTGGCCCGAGGCAACAGTGGCCTCTGTTGCCGGAGAAGAGCGGGCACCGCCGGGTATCGCCGACCTCGGCCGAGGACGCCCGCAGCGGTGCGAGCCAGCAGGGGTTCTGCGTAGCACTGCCAGACGAGGTATTCGCGCTCGTGAGATTGAAGGGGCCCTGGGACACACAACTAAATACACACAAATAAAAGGATCCCCCATATTTTCCCATATTTTCGGGGTTTCTGTCTTCCCCCCACTTCCCATAGTTTCCCATATTTTCGGGGGAATCGAGGATTAATTGTGTCTGTGTGTTCCTTTTCCTCCTGAGAGATGGCTGCACTGGTTGCTGCCCTCCTGCAGGACCTCGTGGGAGCAGGCTGCTGTGCTTGCATCGCACCCAGCAGGTGGCGGACCTCCGGGCCCGCACCAGAAGCCACCCTGGCGGAGGGTCACTCTTTCGCGCAGCCGAGCCCAAGATGGCCCCAAGGCTCCCCCCGAAAAGTCTGGGGAGACCTCGACACCCCAAGCCCGGATCGCGGAACGCCCTAGGAGACAGAGGAGGGCTTCGAGGTGGAAAGCTAGGGTGGGGAGGAGCTCAGGGGGGGGACATCGGGGGGAGGGGGGAACATCGACTTGGAATCGGTGATGCATCGCCGATAGATCGGCGATGGGCCCCCGATAGCAAATCCGCAAGATCCTGAGCTGATGGGCTATAAGGCCACTATCGGCGGCCAATGGGCGATTAGGGGTCGTTAAACGTCCCCCCTGAGCCCATTCCCCCCTAACATTGCCCCTGACAAAGGAAGGCTGAAAGGTTGTTTGCGAGCGCTGGAGGCGATGCAAGCCGCTCTGGAGGGCAGTGGCCCTGCGTGATCTGTGGATGACACACGTCGACCTCGACATCGCTCCCGCCGCCGTCGTCGCTGTTCCCTCGTCGTCCTCGCCGTGTTCCCCGTCGTCGCCAGCGCCATCGCCGGTTGCCGATTGTCTGGTAGAGGTTGTGTCTCTGCATACTGTAGAAAGATACGGCAAGAAATCCAGCAACGGCACGTTCTTCGTCGAAGTTTGCGCCACCTGCGGTGCCGGCGAGCTTCTGTAAGCCCCTGGGGCCATCGGGGGATGAAACCTCTTCCACGGGGCACCCGTCGGCAGGCCGGTGTCTTACGTTTGCGTGCCTACTGTTAGGTCGAGCATGTCCTCCTACAGGCGGTGTTTTGAGGGAGCACAAAAAATATTCAACAAATCTTCAAACTATATTCAAAAATAACAGAAGAATCGTCCCCAGACTATCTCTTGCTATTTTTGAACATTCCTCCTGTAGAGGGACATGCCCGACTTAAGCCTACTGTAAGGAGAACCGCCCTTCCCAGTACCACGCGTGCCGGCCGAACATCCTTCCCCCGCACTCACCCCTTTGCTGTTTCCCGGCGCCTCGTCGGCCTCCGGGCGACTCCAAGACAGCCAGGGGCCACCCCAAAGCAGGCGGTCCAGTAGACCCCCAACCGCTCAAAGATCTTCCTGGTATGCTCATGAACGCCTAGGCCCCCAGGCCCGCCATTGAGACCACTCCACGGGACCCCCCGACAAGCTCAGCAACGTGGCGACAATGACGCAGTCGGCACCACACACAGAAGCGAGGTCTGGTTTGGGGTTGCGTCAGACCTCAACCCGCTGGACTTCGACAAAGTTTCAGAGAGACCAAGAAGACCCCAAGACGGCCCAAAAAACACCCCAAGAAGGAGGCTGCAAGAGGGCCCCAAGACCCGCCCAGATGTCCCCAGGATGGTTCAACCGAGCGATTTCGGGAGAGGAGCTCCGTAAAACCATCGCGCCCCAGACGGCCCAGAGACCCCTGACGGGCCCTCAAACGAACCCACACAAGCCCCCCAAGAGACCCCCAAGAGAGCCCAAAGGGAGCCGCCAAGAGACCCCCAAAGAGTCCCCCAAGAAGTTTTATACAACACCGCAGTAAGTTCCAGTATGTTTTTAAGAAGGAGGAGGGGAGGAGGAGGAGGAGGAGGAGGAGGAGGAGGAGGGAGGAGGAGGAGGAGGAGGAGGAGGAGGAGAGAGGGATGCGGGGGAGGGGAGGGGTGAAGGACAACGAGGAGAAAGGGAGACGCAAGCGGACAACGGAACTGCGGACGAGGACGTCGCCGCCGCCGTCGCAGTCACACTCTCGCCGTCGCTCTCGTCGTCGCTGGGTGCGGCGTCGTTCTGTCGGCGCCGCCCTCACGGTCGCCGCCAGCGCCGCCGCCGCCGTCGTTGCCGTCGTCACCCCCATGCTGCCATCCTGGCCACCACCACTGATGGGCCTGTTTTCCAACACCACCACCATAAGTTGAAGGGGGAAGAACGAGGAAGAGGAGGAGGACGAAGAGGAGGAGGAGGAGGAGGAGGAGGAGGAGGAGAAGGAGGAGGAGGAGGAGGAGGAGGAGGAGCACCCCGTCCCCCTCCAACGTATGGTGGTGGTGGTGGTGGTGGTGGTGGAAAACAAGCCCATCAACCACCATGGCGATCAATGCATAGATTCACCCATTTTCGGCAAATAAGCAAGCTCAAATCGACAGGACTCTCCCCTGCCTGGGCAGATCCGCCACCAGAGACGGCGCCGGGGTGTTGAACAGCGCCCTCCCTTGACTACCCGGGGGATCTTTTACAAGATCGATCAGCGCCGAATCGGACAATCAGATCGAATCGGAATGTGCGCCGTATCGGGAAATCGGATCGAATCGGATTGTGCGTCGGATCGGGATACATCGGCCCGGGGGCGAAGTCGACTCGAAAGGGACCCTGCGTTGAGACCGGCCAGGGCCACCTCCCGGGGGCGTCTGCGCGCAACCCCAGGCCTCGCAAGGACACATCCCCACACGCGCCATGCCACGGCACTGCCGAGGAGGAGGCCGCCTCGCAGCCTCCTCCGCCGCCAAGCGCCTGGCCAGCAGCAGCCCCAGGTGCGGACTCGCTGTCGGCGCCGACGGGGGCACGTAGAAGCACACGGCTGACACCGCGGGGGTGCCGCATTGGGCGAGGCCCGAGCGCCCGCGAGAAGCGCGGGCGTGTGAAAACGAGGTGAAACACTCCCAGACATGGCGACGTCCTGACTTGTTCGATACGGCTCCCCCAGGAGTCCCGACCCTTCCTTGGCGGCGCGCACAAGGGGGTGGGCGGAGGGGGGGGGCTTCTTTTCTTAGAAGCAGAGGTGCTTCTAAGAAGCCCTCCCCCCTCCCCCCACCCCCCTCTGCGCGTGGCTGACTTCCCCCGGGGCTGGTTTTTCATCCTGCGTCGTTTTTGCCACGCTCCCAGAGCTCGGTCAAGGCCCCCCGAGGCCGAAAGTGGCCAACAACCTCCCGTCCTGATTTCTTTCCGACGCGGTCATGTCTGCACTGCGTCGCTACAAGCGACGAGAGCATCGTGATCGAGCGCTGCTCCTCGGCCAGCCTCGAGCGCGAACTGCTGCACCACGGCCCGGGCGGGGCCTCGGCTTGGGCCTCTCCGCCCGCGCCAGGGAGCCCCGCGGGCGCACCGCCGCATCTTGACGACGGAACGGCACACGACCGCATGCGGGCAGGGGGGGACGAGGAGAGAGGAGACCCAAACATGATCGCGTCGTAGAACAATCCTAACGAGCGGTTCTGGGCCGGGTTTGGCCTCGGGGGGCCCTCGTCGGGCCTCGGGACCGTCCAAAAACGACTCGGGACAAAAAATCGGTCCTGGGGAACGGGCTGGAACTTCCGGGGACGCCGTGTTGAACCAGTCAGGACGTCGCATGTCTGGGGAGAGGAGGAAAGGAAGGGATGCAGGTGGGAGGAGGAGGAGGAGGAGGAGGAGGAGGAGGAGGAGGAGGAGGAGGAGGAGGGGGGGGAGGAGCACAAATGAGCCTCGCGCCGGGCCGGCCGGCCCTGGTGCTTGCGAAGGTTTCCGGAGAGGCGGGGGCCGGATGCTCCAAGAGGGGCAGAGGAGGAGGGGGGAGAAAGGGGGGGAAACGCGAAGGGAGGGGGAGGAGGAGAAGGAGGTGGAGGAGGAGGAGGAGGAGGAGGAGGGAGAAGGAGGAGGAGGAGGAGGAGGAGGAGGAGGAGGAGGAGGGCGGGGAGGAGGAGGAGGAGGAGGAGAGGGGGGGGGAGGGAGGAGGGAGGAGGAGGAGGAGAGGAGGAGGAGGAGGAGGAGGAGGAGGATGAGGAGAGGAGGAGGAGGAGGAGGAGGAGGAGAGGAGGAGGAGGAGGTGGAGAAGGAGGAGGATGAGGAGGGGGAGGGGGAGGAGGGGGCAGAGGAGAGGGAGGGAGAAAGGAGGGGAAACGCGAGGGGAGGATGGGCTCGGCGGGGGGAACGTCGGGCTGGAAGCGGCGACGGGCGCCCGATGCGTCGAAAAAACCGGGCATGCGTGGGCGATGGGGGGCCGATGCGTCCGCATCCCCCTCTGAGCC